AGGGAAACAAGACAACAAACCATTTAGGTATTAGGGAAAAGGAAAATCCCCATCACAGTGAAAAACTTTGGGAAGGGCTTGAAGATGCTGTAGACTTTGTCTTCAGAAAAATCAAAACAAAGCCAAACAATGGATCAAAACTCAGCTGGGCAAGGGCCAGAGCAACCCAACCCAGGCCTGGCTTTGGCTGTGACTTGAGTGTGGGAAATCAGCTGGGCAGAGCAGAGGAAGCTAAAGCCAAGTCATCATGTCTCACCAGCTCGGCGTAGTCTGCTGCTTGAGTGCACTTGTAGCCATAGGGGTACATCAGGAGCTGGGAGTAGCTGTGGAGGGTGAGGAAGGCCTTGATGTTTCCATGCTTCTTGATAAAGTTGACCACAGATTTCACTTCCACCTCTGACTCAGCCCTGGGCCCACGGTAAGACTCAGAACAGGGGTAACTACTGGCTCCAGGACCTGTTGGTGCAAAGAGGGAACAAAGACAAACCTGCAGGAACTCAGGAAAAGGTCAAAGCAGACCAACACAAAGTTGGGGTTCCCTAAGAAGGGGTCTTCATCAAAGGTAAGGTCTTAAGAGCAGATAAATGCAGAAAAAGGCTCTAACAAACAGCAGTGACAGAGCAGGAAGACTCAAGGGACATCCTTCTAGATGATACAGACTATCCCCTTCATTTTCTGCTCACTGGGAACTAACCAATGCAAAAAAGGTTATCTTGACAATAGACAGCTGCCATCCTAATTGACCAGACCTTCTTGTGGCCTTCAGGCATCTAAAGGGGGCCTACAAGAAAGCTGGGGAGGCACTTTTTACAAGGACTTGTAGTGATAGGATGAGGGGTGATGGCTTCAGACTGGAAGAGGGGAGATTTATAATCTAAATTAGGAAGTTCTTCACTGTGAGGGTGGTGAGACCCTGGAACAGGTTGCCCAGGGAAGCTGTGGATGCTCCATCCCTGGAGATGTTCAAGGCCAGGTTGGATGGGGCTCTGAGCACCCTGCTCTAGTGGGAGGTGTCCCTGCCCATGGCAGGGGGGGTTGGAACTGGATGATCTTTAAGGTTCTTTCCAACCCATTCTGTGATTCTGTGATTTTTCTTTCTGAATCTCATCTATTAAAAGGATTGTTGGTCCTGTGTAAGAGGATCCAGACACAGGAAAAGGAATTTTCTTCTTAGGGACAGGCAGAATCCAGACACTTCATCCCTACCTCCAAAACCTGCATCCCAGTTCCTGTTTGGATCCACTCCAAAACACAGACTGCCTGGAATCTTGGATCGTGTCTTCCGCCACATGCGATCCTACAACAGAGGAACCAGATGGACCAGAGGACCTTGAAAGGTCCCTTCCCACCCCTTCTGTGATTCTACAGCTTCAGAAATGACCAAAGCCCACTCCTTGTCCTAAAACTGTTACCCAGAAATCCTTGCCATTCACCAGGAAGAGATCCTAGGCACGAGTCTGAGGTTGTTTCTGAGGTGCTGGCGGCCAAGATGGGTCAAAAATCAAAGGGCTGGTGAATTCAGAGCAGGTTAAGGTGGGTCAGACAAGTAGTTTGCACCTTGGGCTGCCCAAGTCCTTTGTAACTTCTCCTTACAGCTTTAAGAAATGGATTTAGGGAGACTTTACTGCAGCCTTTCAGTACTTCAAGTGGCCTATCAGAAAGATGGGGACAGATTTTTATCAGGGGCTGTTGGGACAGGACAAGGGGGGATGGGTTTAAACTGAAAGAGGGAGATACAGACTAGAGAGAAGGAAGGAATTTTTGATGTTGGGGGTGATGAGACTCAGGCTGCCCAGAGAGGTGGTCACTGCCCCATCCCTGGCACCATCCCAGGGGAGGTTGGCCAGGGCTCTGAGCAACCTGCTCTAGTTGGGGCTGTCCCTGCTCCCTGCAGGGGGTTGGACTGGATGGATTTGAAAGATCCCTTCCAACCCAACCCATTTCTGATTCTATGACTTTCAGAGCCTACCTCCCTTGCATTTGTTGTGCTCTCAGGAGCACATGACAGCTCTGTAGATCAGCTCAGACAGGCAGCTTACTCACTTTGGTGTGGGTGAACACATATCCATCAGGGTTTGAGACTGCCAGCAGGAAAATGTCCATTTTGTTCAGCAGAGAGGTGATGGATTCATCCTTCCCATAGTCAGAGGCAATCTAAGCAGAGACAATATTGTACACCATGATCATCAGCATAGTTCTTTCCTGCATTTCTTACCCTCCAGCAGCAGCAAGTCTGGCTTTTAGGGCAGGGAAACAAACCCCAAATTCTCTTCTAGCCATAACTGTTCCTCGTTAGACTTGGAGACAGCAATGAACCTGTTTAATTATTTTATGCTGAAGATAGGAAGTTAATGGAAAAGGGCAACAAGGTTTTCTCCAGCCTGTCCCTCAAGAATGGGCCAAGGCTGACACTAAGATTGAGGTGGACTAGCCAGGTTGGGAAGACACAACTGTGTAGGACATGTCTGGTGGGCTCATCATTTTCAGCAGAATTTAAATGTTCATTTATAGAAAGCTGGAAGTTTGGGCACTTTTGTGGAAGGTAAGCATCCAAAGTGTTTCTCTGTTAGAGCAAAGCATCAAACTGATCTTCAAAAAGTCCTAGGTTATTTGTATAACCATCAGCCCTGCAGACCTCAATCATTTCACCAGAGCTACTCCATTTTGTCTGCAAAAACTCCCCCCTCCTCCTCCAAAAATAATCAGCATTTTTAAGTTCTTGGGGCAGATGCCACATTCTCTCTGGAGTCAGCTGTGTTTTAAGAGAGGTGAAGGAGGGTTGGCAGAGCTGGCTACACTTGTACATATGCTCTTGGGTCACAACAACCCCCTGCAGCTCCAGGCTGGGGCAGAGGGGCTGGAAAGTGCCCCAGGGAAAGGCCCTGGGGGGTTGGGGGACAGGCAGCTGGAGAGGAGGCAGCATGTGCCCAGGGGGCCAAGAAGGCCACCAGCATCCTGGCTTGGGCCAGCACTGGTGTGGCCAGCAGGAGCAGGGCAGGGATCGTCCCCCTGGGCTGGGCACTGGGGATGCCACCCCTCAAATCCAGGGATCAGTTTTGGGCTCCTCCCTCCCAGAAGGCCCTTGAGGGGCTGGAGCGTGGCCAGAGAAGGGCAACGGAGCTGCTGGGGAAGGGTCCAGAGCCCAAGTGTGGGGAGGAGCAGCTGAGGGAGCTGGGGGTGCTGAGCCTGGAGCAAAGGAGGCTCAGGGGAGTCCTTTTGGGGTTTCCAAGCCGTGGAGATGTGGTGCTGAGGGACACGGGTCCGTGGGGACCTGGCAGTGCTGGGGGAAGGGTTGGTGTCAATCTGAAGTGTCTTTTCCAACCTCAACGATTCTGTGATTCCATACAGTTGTGATATACTCTTAAACAGTCAGTGGCATTCCCAAGATGATAGAAAAATCCCCAAGTGACCTTTTTAGCTATCCATAAGGCACTGGCTTGGGTCACCCACTCTCGGGAATGGATCCCAGCATCCAGCCAGATGGCAGGTCGGTTGCTTCCTCCAGTGCTGAACTGTCAAACAAAGCAGAAAGTTTCAAAACTCTCACCACTACCATTCTGTCAAGAACATCTTGTGTAGACCAGGATGCTTTGGACTGAATTGTGCAGTATCTTTAATGCATAAGTCTGTCAGACTGTAGTGAGGTGGGGGTCGGGCTCTGCTCCCAAGGGACAAGGGACAGGACAAGAGGAAAGGGCCTCCAGTTGATCCAGGGGAGGTTTCAGTTGCCCCTGAGGAACAATTTCTTGCCCTGGAGGGCTGTGGAGGCCTGTGCCAGGCTGCCCAGGGCAGTGGTGGAGTCCCCACCCCTGGAGGGGTTTCCAAGCTGTGGAGATGTGGGGTGAGGGACACGGGGCAGTGGGGACCGGGCAGAGCTGGGGGGTGGTTGGACTCAATGATCTTAAACATCAATTCCAACCTAAAAATGATGCTGTGATTCTCTGACTGTGACCTGTGTCATACCTTGAGCACATACAAAGGCCTCTTCTCATAGGAGTTCCCAATCTGGTGCTTGCTGATGAGGCTGCTGTACTCAGATGCAAGGTGATCCAGTTCTGCATAGATCTGAAATGAAAAGCCACGAGGACATTGACATCACATTTACATCTGGTACTGCCCAGAACAGCTTTAGGACCTGAGGAAACCCACTCTGCTTTCCTTTTGCCTTCATTATTATGACTTCCTCAAAGCCTTTCTCACCTTAGTGCTGTTCTGAACATCCCAAAGTAGGGCACACTGCTATACCACCAAGATCTACTTATTTCAGGAATCAGTTCATAAACCTCTTCAAGAATTTCTCCTGACAAAAATACCTCACCCTCTGCTCTGCTTGACTGCCACTGATTTCCTCCCTTTCCCTATTTCAAGATTCATTTCCTCCTCAGGCTGTTTTTTCTGGTCAGAAGGAGGTTTTGACTGAAGATTTGATGAAAAAGTACAATCAACACTTGCCTCTTCCAACCTCTGTCTGGGATGAGCACAAAATCAATACAGTTAAACCCAAACCCACGTACCAAAAGGAGCTGGAAGGATATTTTAGATCCTAGTAGAGGATGTTTAACTGAAGACAGCATGAAAAAAAGGCCAGAAAAAACCCTCTTCCCCAAAGCTGATGTGCTCACCTCATCTAAAGTGTGGTAGGTTCCATAGTTGAAGCTGTTGCTGCTGCGTTCCATTTGTTGACCTTCAGCCATGTCTTGCTTTTCTTGATCAAGGACATCCTAAAAAAAGCCATAAAAGTGTTGAGAAAAAGCTGCTTCATTGGCAAACTTGTGACCAAACCTTTCTCCCCAATAAGGAAATGGTGGCACTGCATAATGACCCCAGCTATGGGGCAAACAGCTGCTGCTGAATGTATCTGGGGCAAAGTGGGCAAGAATGGCAAGGTTTCAATGGGCACCATTTGATTTTAAACACTTCTGAAGATGAATAAGAATACCACTGGAAAGCTTTTGGGGGGGAAAGACCAAAAAAAGGCTATTTTAGGTGCCATTTGGGGGTTGCTGCTCATGAAATGTCAAATTAGTGTCCAAGTGGGCAACTTTTCTCTCTCATGGTGGTGCACAATGCTTTCAGATTATGATTAGTGGTGACCTGGCAATGCTGGGTTAGTGCTTGGACTGGATGAGCTCTTCCAACCAAAACAAGTCTGTGATTCTATGATCCTGAACTACTCCTAGGACAGTTTCCTGAATTATGACTAAATTTAGAGATTCCCAAATGTCTGAGGCCACGAGACCACAAGAAATTCTTCAGGGGTTATGCAAGGAGCCCCATGGAGCCCAGGAATTGAGTGATGTCACTATTTGATGTGGTTTCAGATGGCATCTGCAAAGTGATCTCCACAGCTTCCCAAGGAAAGCAGAGGAGAGAAGAGTCCATGTTAATGAAGGAGGCCAGATTGTGAAGCTTTGTTTCCAAAGGATATAAAAGCCAAATATCATAAAATCACAGAATGGGTTGGGTTGGAAGGGACCTTAAAGATCATTTGGTTCCAACTCCCCTGCCACAGGCAAGGACACCTCCCACTAGAGCTGGTTGCTCAAAGTCTTGCCCTACTTGGTCTTAAACACATCCAGGGATGGACTATCCACAACTTTCCTGTGAGCAACCTGTTCCAGTGTTCCATCACCCTCACAGTGAAGAATTTCTTCCTAATATCAAAGCTAAATCTACTCTCTTTCAGTTTAAAACCACTGCTCCTCATCCTATCCCTATATTCCTTGATGAAAAGTCCCTCCCCAGCTTTCCTGTAGGTCCCTTTAACTACTGGAAGGCTGCTAGGAGATCTCCCAGGAGATATGTGCCTACCTGCAGGTCTTCAATGAGGATGGAGTACTCAATCCCATAGGACTCCAGGAAGCCTTTCACTGCTTGGACGTTGTCAGCAGGGATTCGTACATCCACAGGAAGGGCAGGAGAGGAGGGGTTTAACCAGAAGTCAAGCTGAAAAAGAGAAAGGATTTGGTTTTGGGGAACTGTTCTGCAAACAGCTCTTGCAGAGCTTTACAAATGTTGTTTTCTCCTAAACTGAAGAGCTGCAGGATTGTGCCCCATCAGGCTTACAGCACATTTGAGCCTCACCATAACCTTAGAAAGATAGAATCCTCAAGGTTGGAAAACATCTCTAAGATCTTCAAGTCCAACCTTCAACCCAATGCTACCATGGCCACTAAACCACGTCCCCAAGTGCCACATCCACATGTTTTCTGAACCTCTCCAGTGAGGGGGACTCCAGCACCTCCCTGGGCAGCCTGGCACAGGCCTCACCACTCTGCCAGGAGAGAAATTCTGCCTCATATCCAATTGAAACCTCCCCTGGCACAACTTCAGCCCATTGCCTCTCATCCTTTTGCTGGTTACTTGGGAGAAAAGATCAACCCTCACCTCACTCCAACCTCCTTTCAAGGAGCTGTGGAGACAGAAGGTCTCCTTGAGCCCTCTCTTCTCCAGGCTCAGCACCCCCAGGTCCCTCAGCTGCTCCTCACAAGCCATGTTCTCCAGAGCCCTCCCCAGCTCCGTTGCCCTTCTCTGGTCCCTCTCCAGCCCCTCAAGGTCTTTCTTATCCTGTGGTGCCCAAAACTGACCCCAGTGCTCAAGCTGTGGCCTCCCCAGTGCCCAAGGGCACCATCACTTCCCCTCCTCATCCTGGACACACACATCCCAGCCTTGCATCAGTTAATGTGACAAATTCAAAGACAAAATAAAGGTCTGCAGGAGGCTAAAGTCAGCATTTCCACTGACTTCAGAGCATCAGCCATACAACAAGAGGAAATTTTAGTCTTCTGTGATAAATATTTTACTATTCTCCCTTTTACCAGATATATTTTCCAAGAAAACCTTTGGATTGCAGTATTGGGTAATATCAAAACCATTGGGTTTATTTCTCCTTTTATTTCTCCCATGAGAGGGCTTTTCTAAATTTTCATTTCTATACTGTTCAAATCAATACTTTGAAAGAAAGCAATAATAAAAATTCTCACCAGTGGCAATGAGAACAGTAATAACCTAGAGTTTTATAGTGTGTTTTCCTCCTTCAGTGCAGTGTAGCCTAATAAATTCCTCCCACAATGCTGGAAGCCAAGTCAACCTTAGCATGCCCACTTTAAAACAAGCTTTTCTACCCTAATATTAAGAGCAGAACAGTTCAAACATGATTGTAAACCCAGCAGGAAGAAAACAGGAGCACAGGCACTGCACAGAACCAAGTGGGAACTAGAACTTGCAGATCAAACCCCAAGGATTGAGACAGTAAATTTATTTACTGCAGCTGCCATGGTAGGGTACAAACCTCCCACGTGTGATGTGAAGTCCTACCCCAGTCTGGAACATCAAGAAATGGTAATAACATACCTTAAGGTGTTCCAGAGATTCCAAAAGCTGCAACTTTGCCACCTCATCCTCATTTTTTGGCTTGATTCGGAGAACCTGGTGCCTGCAAGACATCAATAAGTCTTCAGAAACAGGCTCAGAAAGGGGTCTGGTTGAACTAGATTATTACTGAGATCATGAATTTGGTGGGTAATTACTTCCATGCTACCAAGCAGGGCAGACTTCTTCAATGCTGTTGACTTAGTGTCACCCAAAAGTTCAACCAACAACTTGCTCCACATGCACCAGAGCAGTAACTAGTTAAATGGCAATGGTTAAGGTTTCATCATCAACAAGACATCAAGTAAATGACTTCTGAATTGCTTACCAGGATCAGCTTTGAAGCTCTTAGTTAATATTTTTGGCAACACTTTGCAGGAAAAGAACATTCAGGGTAAGCTGGCAAATGATTGGATGTTTGGGGAACACAACACATCAAACCAAACAGTAAATTTAGGGTTAATTTCTCCTTTCCCCAATTTAGTCAAAGACTGCTGACAAACTTCTCTGTGTTGTCAGAAGCTGATACCATCAGAGGGTGGCTTGCATCACTCCTGGTGGAATGAATCACTCTCTGGAAGTACCTCACCCCACGGGTTAGAGAGGTGACCTCAGTGGTGAATTTGGACTGTGCCTCATACAAGGTACAGTGATCTCAACATCCAGGCTCTATGTGGGGTTTAGAGCACTAAAAACATAAATCCCATGGAAATACACAATGTTCTGGGCTGCTGGGGCAAACAGGTAGGAGGAAACTGTGCCATGAGGAGCTCAGGCTTGTCCAGGATGATCTAACTGCAGCCTACAACTGTTTCAAAAGGAGTCACCGAAAAATTACAAGCTCTTCTTGGTAGGGGAGATGATGATGAGGAGGAGAAACAGCTCCACGCCCTCACTGAGCAGGGAGGTGGGCTAAAAACTTCTGGATGTCTCTTCATCCCAGGTGAGGTTGGCCAGGGCTCTGAGCACCCTGCTCTAGTTGGGGCTGTCCCTGCTCCCTGCAGGGGGGTTGGAACTACATGACCTTGAAAGGTCCCTTCCCACCCAAACCATTTGATGATCTACAAAACCAACTGTATGCAACAACTGGGGGACAGAAGATCCTATTCTGGAGAACCAGGGGGGGATCCTGAAGGAAATCTGGGAGTTCCAGATTGGGAACACAACAATTCAGCCCAGAATCAGTGCTGTAGAATTTGCTGTGTTTGTTTTCACTCTCTTCCTGAAGCATCTGCCTTTGGCCACTCTTGGAGACAGAACAAAAGTCCAGGGGGTCCAGCACCCCAGCCTGGCCCAGCTGAGGTACAAGATTGTTTTGCTGACTCAAATTAAATCAACAATAAAGGCATTTTACCACAATAATAACAACTTATCATTCAATTCTCCATTACCACAAGCTTTGTTTCTGGATTGGATTCTTCTGTGAAGAGGAGATGAGGCTACTGGACATGATCAAGGGATGAATTCATCAGAATCCAGTCCACAGTATGCCACAGCCCAGATGAAATGATCAAAATAGTTTCTGGCTTTACAGATTTGAGGGTTTTAGTAAACTCTGTATATTGGTTCTTAATCTTAGTCTTTACAACTTCATATGCAGATTTATTCACTGGAATCTAGTGCTCAGTGCACCTCAGGAAATATCTGTGGGGTTTTTGTCCCCTCTTAGCAAGGTTTTTACACAGACTGTGAGGAAATAATTTTGCAATGCAAGGTATGGATAGATCTTTGTAATGTAATGGTTGGAAATAAGGATTTGAAATGCTTGGAAAAACTCTGAGGAGAATGGAGCATTTAAAGAGAAATGAGATCTTTAAAACCAAAGCTTGTGACCTTTCCAATCTGAGGCTGGGTTCTGGGGTTTGGGCTCTGCTTTGGGCCAGACCAGATCTGTCCAGGAGAACACCTGAGCTTTGCAGTGAGGTGCAGCTCCAGATCAAGTCTCAAGACTGCTCCCTACGTACAGTCAAAAGCCTGGGGTGAAGGTGAATTGAGAAATTCAACTGTCAACTAGACCCTTACCTTAGAAAACCCAGAAGGAAGTAGGGACAGGTACCTTCAAGCACTGGAGTTCCAACACAACAAGACAAGTCAGTGATAAAAAGCAAAGAATGTGCCCCAAGAAGATTTTTGTATAGTTAAGCTCATGAAAAACAACAACTGGATCATAGGGGTATAAACAAAAACTCACCCAACAAAAGTTTCCAGGCACAAGGAAGCCCCCAAGAGGGCACTGAAGATCAAAATCAGCTTCATTGTTGGAGATGAAGTTCAGCTCAGCCCTAGAGAAGGGGAATTTATACAGGACTTGTTAAGAACCCCCAGATTCAGATAACACCTATCTGTGTTCATATCTGTTTCAGATAAAGCACATCTGTATTCCGTGTGACTAAGTTCTCATGTTTATCAGAGCTTTCAAGGCAACCAACAGATAGGAGGCCAATTTTGCCTCCAAAAAAATATTTTCCACTGGACGCATTCAAACGTGGAATGGAGGAGTTGTTTACAAAGCCTTGACCTCAGAGCTCCTCAGTGTCCTTCTACACATTCTTCTAGATAGAGGAAGACAAGAGTCAAGCTGAACATCATCCCAGCTCTCACTCGGGGTGAGGAGCTCTACCAGTTGACCCTTGGTCACATCATTTTTTCTCCAGCAGGTTTCTAGTAGCCCAATCCTTGTTAGGAAGAGGCCACCAGCAAAAAGATCTCACTCCAGCAAAACTCTTCAACTGGAGTGATTGTTTTGAAGGATGAAGTTGGAGTTGGTCAACTGGGATGGTTTCAGACAGCTCCAGCCAGTCAGTGCTTTGAGCAGATAAAGGTAGCAGCAAGATTTCCATGAGACCAAGCTGTAGAGTAGGAGCAGAGAAAAGCCTTGGGTGAGAAGGAACACGGAGCTCAACTCTGCAGCTAGACCCTACTCCTTGGACTCCTTGCTAGACATCCTCTTCCAACCTGACCTAGGATGTTGCCAAGGAACATTGCCAAGGATGTTGCTTCTACCACCTTCTCCATCTTTTTACCTTCTACAAAGCTGCCCAGATGCTTGAGTTGCCATTATCCATGCTGGAGGAGTCATGGTGACAGGCAGTCTCCTGAGCTTTGGGGACCATCTCTCTTGCCTTCAGTTGGGGGAACACCCAGCAGCAGTTGTCCCAGAATGACAGGTAGGGCCAGAGGGCTGTTGGATACACTCTTTGTTGGTCCTACCAAAAATGCTACTGAGGAAGAGCTGGGTGCTGACCCTGCTGTCACACCTGCAGGTGGGGATGCTGGGAACTCACACGGGGCAGAAGGGAGATGGTTCAGCTACTCTGCTGTCAACCTCAGGAGACCAAGGACAGGAAGACTCTGACAATCCCCAGAGGACCTCACGCATACAGCTCTCAACATTTGTCAACCCAACCTTGAGGAACGACCCCCAGGCTCCACTCTCACCCTATCCCTCCACAGCCGGGGTAGGAGCTTCTTGTCCTCTGTTCACAGCAGATTCCAAGCAAGTCTGGAGTCCTCAGCAAAGGAGAGACAGGGACCTGCTGGAGCAGGGCCAGAGGAGGCCCAGCAATGCCCCGAGGGGGGAACCCCTCTGCTGGGAGCCCAGCAGGAGAGAGTTGGGCTGGGGCAGCTGAGAGGAGAAGGCTCCAGCTGGGGAGACCTGCTGGGGGCTGCCAGGGGCCTGCCAGAAACCTGGGGGGGGGACTTTTGAGCAGGGGTTGTTGGGACAGGACAAGGGGGGATGGTTTGAAACTCAAAGAGGGAGATTCAGACTAGAGAGAAGGAAGAAATTTTGGAATCTGAAGGTGTTGAGCCCCTGTCCCAGGCTGCCCAGAGAGGTGGTCACTGCCCCATCCCTGGCACCATCCCAGGGGAGGTTGGCCGGGGCTCTGAGCACCCTGCTCTAGTTGGGGCTGTCCCTGCTCCCTGCAGGGGGGTTGGACTGGATGGCCCTGAAAGGTCCCTTCCCACCCAAACCATTCTCTGATTCTATGTCTGTCGTGAGGCCAGGCCTCATGTTTTTGGGAACAAAGGGAGCCTCTGGCAGGGATTCTGCCTGTTTTGACATACAGGAATTAGTCATCCTGCAACTGTTGTAACTTGGGGGCACACTGTGGAGAACACACTCTGCAGAAGGTCAGGTATGTTCCTGCAGGTCTCCAGGTCTTTAATGCAACCCAGTCCTTGGGAACCAAGCAGATCTCCACTCCCTTCAACGTCAATCAGATAATGTGAGTTTATCTTAAGAGACAGGAACCTTCATGAGAATTTCCTGCCTCTAGCACTACAGTCATTCTGGTGGAAGTCAAATCCCACCCATAGCTTATGGCCTTCAGCAGTTCATAAAGAACCAACAGACTGTCCACACCACCTCCTGTGGATTCACTCCTTGAAAACAGGAAGGAGGGGCTTAATTTAGCACAAAATTATAGCTTGCTTCATTACTCACGCTACGTCCCGCACGGGTTTAAAGGATGCCAAGAGATCCCGCCAAACATGATGTCAGGCTCTGAAGCACATCAACAAGCTCTGAGTGCCCTGACCAGACTCCTCTGGGGCCTCCACCCATTCCATTTAAGGAGCTTTGGACCAGCTCCTCATCCCCATGAAGGGGCTCCAGAAGCCTGCAGCACGGTGACCTCCCACTCGAACTACAAGGTCACGCAGAGTTTGGAGGGCTTGACCCACAAAGTCCTACAGGTGAAGTCCTCCACAGAAAGCAAATTAGGGAGCACCAAAACCAGGGCTGCACCACCACAGCAAGAAGCCAGAAGCCAAAAGTGACAGCAAGGTGGGCGAGGGGAGAGAGCTCACCACAATCAGCACGGCCCCGTGGGACCCAAACGAGAGGAGGAGGAACAGCCACAGTCCAGATCCTCAGGGAAGACACTCAGCAGCTCCACAGAGAGGACTTGAAGAGCTACGAGCCCCAGTCCACCGAGCACCCGCTGGAGCTCAGGGGTGGAGGGTGTGTGGGTGGGGCCCCACAGCAGCCCAATCAGGGCAATTAGTGCTCTCGGGGCCCTGGCACACGAACGTGGGCAGGGTGGGACATCCTCTCCCCAGGCTCCTAAGAGGATGTGGGATCACGCAGTGAATCATGGACACCCTGGTGGCACGTTGAGAAGTGAAAGGTTAAATGGATCTCATCTAAGCAGGCTTCCTCTTTGTGCCTAAAAATGCAGTATCTTCAATCCATATGTCTGTTAGATTGTACTGAGGTGGGAGTCAGGCTCTGCTCCCAAGGGACAAGGGACAGCACAAGCGGAAAGGGCCTCAAGTTGCCCCAGGGGAGGTTTCAGTTGCCCCTGAGGAACAATTTCTTGCCCTGGAGGGCTGTGGAGGCCTGTGCCAGGCTGCCCAGGGCAGTGGTGGAGTCCCCACCCCTGGAGGGGTTTCCAAGCCGTGGAGATGTGGGGTGAGGGACACGGGGCAGTGGGGACCTGGCAGTGCTGGGGGGTGGTTGGACTTGATCATCTTAAAAATCTCTCCCACCCTGAATGATTCTATGGTTCTACAGCCAGTTTGCCCGTTGACAGGGGACCAGAATGGATACACCCCTTAATGCCAACTGAAAAGGCCTCAAAATTGAGGTGGAGTCACTCCTTTTCTGTCCAGTCCAGCCCCTCAGTTGTTTCCCCTGACTGAAAAAAGGGGCAACCAAGATGCAGCCTAGCAGCCTCTGCTACCAGAGTCAGGAAAAAGAGGCAACCTCTGTCCTTGCCATGCCCACAGAGCACCTCCCATCTTGCCCTCTCTTTTGTCAGAAGATAATCTTTTATCTGGGGCTTTCTGGAGGATTTGTTTCAGGGAAAGAACATCGTACACACAATGGTGCTGAGAAGGACATAAACAATGTAAACATGAAGTTTGTAGATGATGCTGATTCTCACAGTGTGCAGGAGTGTGTGTGGAGAAGCTCTTGGACGTGAGCCTGCTGGTCCTCACACAGCTACAGCACAAGGAGCAGCCCCAGACCCTGCCCCAGGACAAGGCAGCCAGGAGAGAGCCCTAAATCTTCACTTTTTCTGCCCATTTTCCCCAGAAATCCCATAGACATTTCACCTTTGGATAGAAAGGCTTCTTTTTTTGGACACCTTGCTGAAGGAACCAAGGAACAAGGGACTGGACAAAAGAAAATGGCCTCAAGTTGCACCAGGGGAGGTTGAGGTGGGACTTGAGCTGGACCTGCAACACCAACATGGCAAAGGGCTCCTTTGGCAACTCACCTCTTGGATGATCCAAGTTAATTGGCTATAATGCAATTCATTTTGGATTACTGGTGAGAGAACTATTATTTCTGTAAGTAATGGCTTATTTCCACGCCCCTAATCCACAAGGCACCTTGGGAATGCCCTGGATAAAGACCGAGTAGGGATCTCAGTACGTGCCTCACCATTTGTAGACGTGACTGGCACCATTTTAGGAGCAGAACCCTCTGGAAAAGCTGCAGCTGTTTGTCAGTGTAACAACACTGCCTGCCGTGGAGCTACTTATTTCCAACTCAAATAGCCTCAAATTAGGAAAACAAGACCTTCACCTCCCCAGGGTTGTCCCCAGATGTCACGTGTTCGAGCCACGCAGAAGTTTGCAACGCCCCACACGCTCCTTTGGCTCAGGAGCCAGCACAGGGATGAACCTGAACTGGTAACAACAAGAAGGGAATGGGAAGGGTACTGGGAGAGACACAACCAGTTACTTACACCTGAAGATTAAAGACTGGTTCGAACAGTGACATCACCCCAGGAGGCAATCATCATTGAGAACAACTTCCGAGGTTGTGAAAGCTTTTTAGGCAGGGAAGTTTTGGGTAAGCCCCACAGTAACCTTCTGCAGAGGGCCAGCAGATGTCAGCAGAAAACAGACAATTAATTAACACCTTAATGGAGCACGGCTGGTACCACACAACTCAAAACAGCAGCGCAGAAGCGGAGGAGGATTTTCCCTTTGATCGCCCCAGAGCCTTCCTCATCCTCTTCATATTCCCTCCCTGGCAGTAATGTCACCAAAGAGAAGACAAGGGATGTCCCACGGGGCTGTCCCCTCTCTGAGGGCCAAGCTGCATTCCTCAGAAACCTATTTTCCAGCCAACCATCTCATGGGGTGTTGGGTGGGATTCATCTCCTCTCACTGGTGCTGTGTCAGGACTAGGAATTGCACCAAACCAAGAATCTTCTCCTTTGTATCTGATGAGGAACCATTCACACCATCATCTAATACCTGTTTGGGACTAGAAGGCCAAATTTGACTTTTTCATAGTC